TTTTTTTTTTTTTGTTTTTTTGTTTTTTTTTTTTCAGTTTGTTGTCCTTGACCAGGGTCTTGAAGCTGATCTTGTATCTGACATCCATAGTTATTTACAAGATCTCATATCTTCTGGACTTCGACAGCGGTTGATTGCACTTATGAAGGTTTTGACCTTGTTATTGAGATAAATTTGTAGGATCAAAATAATTTCTACCTTTGTCAAGTTTTCTCTCAGTTGATATTCTAGTTTATTATTTGTTGTTTTTCTCTTACTTCTTATTTATAAGTGTGTTTAATGAATGGCTAATTTATGGGCTGAAAGGATTTGTTATGGGGTGATTTTGAAGCATGTTTGGAGCGATTGAGCAAGTTCAGCTTCTGAATGTATCTAGTAGGAAATTCAAGCTTCCCACATATTTCTTTTATTTTATCTGAAAGTATAAAATTACAAGATGAAAGCCACCCTTAATGTGCTTATTATTGCATTGGGATTTTTTTCGTATCCTTGGGTTCTGGTATCAGATTAGTATTTGACTTTTGAAAACCATGATCTCCCACAACAAGAAGTTCCTCACGTACACACTTCTTTGCTATCTCAGCTTATCTTTGACTGGAGTTATCGAAAGGAAAAAAAAATGCTGGTTACTTGTAAAAAAACTGTTTTGGACGGTGTGCTTGATATGTTATAGTAGAATATATGTTTGATAAGTTAGTATTAACATTAGATCCTGAGGGGATGAGGTGGTGATAATTTTTGTCTGTTATGTCTTTTGGATTTCCTTTGTGTTTGTATTTTTCTGGAGCAGCTTTGTATTCCCGTTCACATCTTACATTTTTAATGGAAGTTCCTACTTTTGTGGTATTTCATTTCATCTTTTTGTTGTCCTCATTGTTATTCTGTAGATATTTTCTTCTTTTTATTAAATAGGAACTCCGAAGAGAAGAGCCAGCCGGTTTAGGAGGACCCAATTGTGAGAGCTACATTCTTGACTCAAGGGGTGCTCTAGTAGAAAGGAAAGCAGTAATCACTAGGGAAAGGCTCATTATTGGTCATTGCCTTGTTCTTTCGATTTTGGTTGCTCGTGCAGGTAAGCTTCGAAAAGGATTTATTTCTTGGATTGATGTATTGATTATAAAACTTGTTTTGCGTAATTGGAGCCATTGTTGGTATCTACTTTGGGTCTGGGCCTGAATTGCAGAATCATTTTAATGTCATGCTTTCACTCGAAGATTTGCTCTAGGTTCTTCGTGTTGCAGCCGAAGCTCTACTTAGACTAAAGTTTGAATGATTATCAATATTATATGTTTAGTAGTTAGTGTATATCGTGTAAGTATAGAATAGTCCCTTTTAGGAAAGAATATGTACTATCTACAATTAAGGGATTTGAATAGGATTATTATTCTCTTAGTTGTGTATATAAATAGGGCTCTTTGAATTGCTTGAATCATTGTGAAGATATATATTTTCATCTGTTAATGGGAGCTATGAAACCAATGTCTCTGTCATGCATAGTTATTAAGCCATCGTCTGAGGCGTAGGCCTTTTGCAGTGGTCTGTGATTAGTTGCCCTGAGAGACTCTTGACAAGAACTTACTGTTTGACTTGTGCTTTTGCATTTGTTGTTGATAGTTTTTTTTTTTTTTTGGTTGACATTTTTAGAAGATTTATTAGTATGTAGCACATTCCCTCGTTGTTGTAAACTTCAAATGGCCAGTCCAATGTCTTTCGTTGACTAGGCCATCGGTTGCTTTGCCATGAACTGTAGCCCGGGGATGACTTAGTTTGTTGACCTTCTACTCTCTTTTCTTTGGATATGAGGATCAGAGGATGACTTAGGATAGCTTTGGTTATTCTGTCAATAATGTTGAAGTATATGAACTGACTATCAGATTTCTCTGTGCAGATTCTAAAGATGTTAAAGACATTTTTCTTGCTCTAAAAGAGAGTGCCAGTGAATACAGTGGGGCCACAGATTCCCTGAAGCATCAGGTTTGGAAATCTTGTTCGAGTTTCTGTTTTTATAAGCTCTATAGTTGAGTGAGACATTTCACAAATGCATTGTAAATCATTGCCTTAGTTCTGCATATTGTTTTCCTACAGTTTAGATATGCACAATGTACACTATATTTTTTTGGCCTACACATCTGTACGTGATTTAAACTAATGCTATCCTTTTTTGAGTTGCTCTCAGCCCACACTTCATAATGTAAACACGGCTAATAATTTATTTCTGTGTCGTGGGGACTCTTGCTTAACTCTTCTTGTGACATCTTACAACCGAAAAACTTGACAAAGTATTATAATATTTTTAATTTAATTTAGGAGTACTTATCCATTCTTAAATAGTATGCAGGGATGATCTCACATTTATCTTGATAGGATGAGTTCTAACGGACAATTCCCAAATTTCATGGAACACAACCTGGGGGTTCATCTCTAATAATTATCTGCAGAAGTAATATAAATTTCTAATTCTCATGGAACATAATTATGCTACAGGCAGAAGTTTTTATTAGCTGGATGCTATTATCTGTAAATCATGATAAGCTGACATTACTTGCCTTTTCCTTTTGCTTAATAAGTTCTTATTCTGTTCTTGAGATTGTGATATCTTCCTTTAATTTATTACTGATGATATAAGTTCCATTTTTTTGCCTGCAGATTACATATAGCCTTCTTTTCTCTCTTGTCATTGCTTTCATATCAGATGGTTTGAGCACAGCTCCTGAAAAAGCATCAATCTTGTCTCATGATGCTTCTTTTAGGAACGAGTTTAACGAGATGGTAAGATGAACTGTACCTAACTATTTTGTATTGTGGCTAGTGATTAAAATGGCGTGCGGCGAGCCAAGTTGATAAGACTCTTATTTGCCATGGGGTGTGGCGAGGCGAGGCGCCCGCCTTATGAAATCGATGGGAGCCATTATGCAAAAATAGAGATATACAATAAAATTCACCAATTATGATTCCATTAAATACGTAAAACAAATCACCATAGCTAATAAACATGTAACAAAAGGCTAGACATTAGAAATTCAACATTAACATAATAAACATTAAACATTATGCCTATGAACCATGAACGTTGTTAAGTTTGTATATTTCTCCCTAAACTAAAAAAAGAAAGATATAATGAAAACTAAACAAAACACATATCAAATTGGCTTACACTTTGCATTATGCTTTTAGAATTAAACTTTACATGGTGTTTATAGGCTTAATTCCTCAAAGAAATAAACACAGTCCAAGAAAAACTAAGCTCCTATGCCAGTATCCCCACCTCCACACTTCCAGCTCCCCGCAGAAAAAGAAAATGGAAAATATGGGCTTTTATATCATTCAATAACAGCAAAAAAATAAATAAAAAGAAAACAAATAAAGCGGTTAAGATCAGATCTGCTGGCAGCACTGTCCGAATTGTGGCTCCAGCGCCGGCTACGTCCATAACCGGCAGCAGCCCTCACACAACTCCACCAAACCTGAAATAGACAAAAGATTAAGAAAAGCCAAAAAGAAAAAAAAAAAAGGAAAGAAACAAACACATGAGTCTGCCGTTGCCAGTAAACCACTGAAATCCAGTTGCCCCGGTCAGGTAAAGAAAAGGCAGACATTTTTTTAGGGTTTTATTAGAGAGAATGTGTGTAATTTAGAATTGGTATAGGAAGCTGTAAGTTTGATCCTAATTTTTTGTCTAAGGTCCTGCACACGCCTGCCTCGGCTCTGTGTGGCGCTGGCCTTGCTTCGCCTCGCCACAGCTACTTAGTGTCCTGACCACGCCACGCCACGCCACACGACACCATGCCTCATGCTACTAGTGGGCATTATGGACCTTACTTAATCTAATGCTTTTTTCAGGTGATGGTGGCCGGAAATGATCCTGTAGTTGAAGGCTTTGTTGATTGTGTTAGACTTGCATGGGTTGTACATTTGTTGTTGGTAAAAGATGGAAATGATGGTAAGGAGATGATAGCTACTTCGTCGTCAAATGATGTGAAAAATATTTGCTCATGCTTGGAAGTCATTTTTGCCAATAATGTATTCCAGTTTTGGCTGGATAAGATTCTTCGCAGTGCAGCATATCAGGTGATTTTTCTTTCTGTTCATATATATACCTTATATTGAATTATCTATCCTTTTAACAATCTTTTGACTTCAAGAATGATTAAAATTATGTGCTCCTTAAATTAGCTTCATGAGTAGTATATACACTTCCCAAATTGGAGTTTAGTTTCTGAAGTAATTTGCTAAAAGCTTTGAAAAATTGAATTTGATATTCGGATTTGGGCACCTCCCACTTCTCATACGTTTATTTTCTCTTTCCCTCCTCTCCTACGTAGGTGTTTCCCTTGCTACATTTCTTGCATCTCTTGCTTGGGTCTTATGTTTGCTGTTTGTTAGAATCTCAAGATTATATCTTTGCTGCCCCACTCACAATTAGACCAGCTCCAATACTTTAATGATATGTTTTGTATTTAGTCGGTTAGGAGTTGCTTTGATTTATTTCTATATCCATCTCCTTCAGCATTACCATCAATTTTGGTTGTCTATTTTCGTGCAGAATGATGATGAGGATATGATCTACATTTACAATGGTTATCTCCACAAACAAATGACATGCTTGCTTTCACATCCCATAGCCATAGGCAAGGTTGGTTGAGTTTCATTGTTGTTCACGGTCATGCATCATATTATTGATTATTAAAAGGGCATTGACTGACTTGGAATGTTTTAATTCAAAGGTTGCATGCATGAGATTTTTGTATTTGTGTGATAAATAAATACATACTGGAATTTTTCTAAGACCACATCTGACGACTGACTTAATTAGAAAATGACCTCAGGGTCTTGGGTCTTGTGTGATAGCAAATTCTGTCATAGTTCCATAGGGTTGATGCCATAGAATTTTGGTAAATAGAAATGGACCTGGCACAAATTGAATGTACGATTATGCACTTCACCGCTATCTGTCTATTAATGATGTCTATTAGTGATGAACTTGAGATAGAGATCAACTCGTTATCACTTTAAGTCTTCTGGACGGAGTTGTACTCCAAATATAGAGATGTCTTATGATGAGCATCTTGACCTAAAACTAAATCACGCAAATCTATTAGAGGAAGCTTTTGTTTCTGGAGTTGATCTAGAAACCAAGTGTAGTATTGTTCTTGGTTATCTTTAATTGTTCTTAAATGAAATTTCTTCCTTCATTTTGTGCATTCATTGTGCACGTGGGAGGCCTTGGTATTTTACTAATGATAATTTAGGGGGTGGAATATAAATATTTTTTTGACTGGTCTCTTTTTCTTTTGTGGTTTTCATTGTCTTTCATCCTCTTTTACCATTTTCTATTTTATTTTAGCAGGTTAATGCCTTTTCATTTTTTTTTTCCTTGGATCTGTTGGCCATTTTTCTCATTTGTTTCTCTCTATAAATCCATGCCTATTCTGACCTCAAACTTAATATTCACCATCCACACCCTTCCCAATGTTATCCAATGGCGTGTTGGATTTTTGCCTAACTTCCATGAAAAATTTGCGAAGGATGGCGGTTGTGGTGGTGCCGCAGGACGGTTGTGTTAGATATCGACTTTATTCCATTTAATTCAATAGTTTGGTTTTGGGCCGATTTGCTTAGAATATCCAGTTATAATTAGGGTTAGGACTCTATTTAAGTAGGATATCTTTTGTAGTCAGCTTTAAGTTTGGGCGGGAAGTTTCATCCTGAAATTTGGGTGTTAGGGTCGGCGGGATTCATCCTGAGTTGCTTCTAAGTTAATAATAATGATTGTATATTATTTTTGTTTGCCTTCATCCTTAACTCTATCAATTATCCTTAACTCTATCAATTGGTCTAACCTATCGAATCCACAAATCGGTTGGAGAAACGCTTGGACAATCGGGTGTTACGTTACTAACATAGCTTATGGATTGTTTGTTTGCACAACTTAGCCGAATTGAAGAGTTGATGAAGCAACTACTTAGTGAAAAAAATTTGCTGCCTCTGAAGCTATTGCCACTACAAATAACACCTCAGAACTCGTGGTTGAACTTGTTCCCCCTGGTCCTCTTCTTTTGTTGGTGGGTACAACCCCTACACAGTTAGCTTGCCTTGCCACAGACTCTAGGGTTGGTCAAAGATCAAGTTACATTGACAAGCGATGAGATGAGAGTTGGACGAGGGACCTTCGTGAAGGACTGTGGAAGATGAGAGTTTGTATATATCCGTCGACAGAATGGTCGGTGTAAAGTGGCATGGTTCCGTTGGACGTTAAGCTCTACAGGCGATGGGGAAGTCAAGCCGGGAAGGGTCCGGTCGTCCGCAATTTCATTCACTGTGGATTGGGGAGACGACAAACGCATGGTGGAAAATAGTTTGGCCGCTATTTAATGTCCGCCTTCTGGCGGGTTTCCAATGGTGCCTGCTATAGCATGGCGTGGCGGCCATGGTGTTGTCCTAATAATAATAATAATAATAGAAGTTCAAAAGAGGATCGAGTTTCTCCTTCAAAAGTAATCCTAATATTCTAGCGATCCAAACAACGAGAGAAATTGAAAAATAGAGCACCACACCAGTGACCCTCCTGCGAACCACCACAAGTGACCCTTTCTCCGCCGAACCACCACACAGGCGAACCAATATTTGTTTTCTATTTTATTTTGTTGTTTTGCTTACGTATTCTTTTTCAACTTGGATGGATGGATGGCAAATAGAAGGAGAAGACCATGTTTTTTCGTCTGAAACATTTACTTTGTATACAACCAATATGATTCATTAGTGATAATATCAACAAACAATTATATTAAATTATTTATATTGGTCAATAACGACTGCTCACCGGTGTAGGTTGAGATAACTTCTTATACTAATTAGTTTTTATTTCAGCCCTTTATAATATGTGTTTGACTTTCTTTTAATAATTACTTTTGCTTTATTTGTGTTTGACTTTCTTTTAATCACTACTTTTGGTTTAAAATCTGTTAAATGGTTTCATGTGTTTTTTGTTTTTTTTTTTGTTTTTGTTTTTCATATGTGTGGTTATGTTGCACTTATTCAATGATGATTATATTTTCTATTTTCTGAAACTACTGTCATTTTGTAAAAGAAGAAGAATTATTTACATGTTCTAAGGTGTTATAGTGTTATATATGTGTATAGATAAATATAATATATTTTTGGGTCAGCCATAACGTCTGCCATTTTCCGTTACGCCATACATGACGGTTTTTTGGCTTTCCGCCATGGCCTGCCATCCGCCATTGATAACACTTTTGTGAAGCTGAAGTGTCGGATTGAAAATCATGGGGGTGGGCGAGAAGAAGCTTGGTCTCGCCGAAGGGCGCTGTGCAGTAATCGCAGCTGGCAACCCTGGTCTCACCAATTCGAAGTGCTGTAGCGAGCATGCGGAGGCTTGGTCAAGGCCAGTTGCGGTGAATCGATGACGATGGGGATCTACTAGTTTACGATGGCAAGTAGCAGAAAGGAAATTAAGAACAAAAACAAAGAAAGAAAATAAAGAAAAAAAAATGGCAATATGTTGCAGCGAGAGGAGAAAATAAACAATTGTGTTTCTGCCACAATGACCAGACTAATTTTGAAAAGACTTGTTTTCCTATTTTAATGTTAACAAGGGCTTTAGTAAAGCTTTTCGGTGGACCAGGAACTTGGAAGCAAAAATCTTGCACAGTAGGGATGATGGGCGTAGTTTTATACTTTTATTAGCACTTAGCAAGGCAATGATCCAGAAAAAAAGTAAAAAAGAAATGATGATCTCTTTTTTTCTGGATCATTGCCTTTTTCATGATCTTTCAACAAAGCAAATCGGTAGAGGGCGTGAATCTAATGGACTCTATGTACTTAAAACTCTGGGCCACAATCTCTTGCTTGTTGTATCCCATCACCGTTTGAGATGCATTGTTGGTTGGGTCATCCCTCCCTTCAGAGTCTTAAGAAGATGAGCCCCCAGTTTCTTCTCTGTCTTGTCTTCATTACACCGTGATTCGTGTCAATTTGCAAAAACAATCAAGTTAGGTCCTAAGGTAAGTAAATGGGCTACATCCCCATTTGAGATAGTTCATTATGATGCTTGGGGACCTGGGGGTTCCTGTTCGATTCTATCGAAAATCGGTTTCAGATATTTGTTACTTTCATTGATGATTATTTTCGTGTCACTTGGCTTTATCTCATGAAAAATCGTTTTGAAGTTTTTCAACATTTGTCTTTCTTTTTTTTTTTTTGCTGAAATTAAAAAACTAATATAACACTTATGTTCATACCCTGCGAAACATAATCCAAAAGAATATTTTTCAGCAGTTACTCAATCCTCTATGCTTCAACAAAGTATTTTGCATGAGTCTTCTTGTGTTAGCTGAATGTAAGAACCGACATCTCATGAAGTTGCTAGAGCTCTCATGTTAAAAAGGCACGGTCCTATATTTAGAGGTGAAAGTAAATCTAGACGGTTCATTGGCTCATTTAAAAGCTCGGTCTTGTCGCTAAAGCAATGCTCAGACCTACGACATTAACTATTCCGAGTCTCTCTCTCCTGTGGCTAAGCTCACATCTGTCCGATTATAAGTATCCTTGGCAGCATCATTTCAATGGCCGCATACATCTATATATAATCAACCAATTGTTTGTTCAATAGATACATGATCATTGTCAATTGCATCAAATGTGACTACCCATCAATCTAGATAAACTTTGTAAATATGGCCACTCTTTGGGACTTTGCTCTAGAGGTGAATATTTGGTCTGATGGAACACTTTTAATATAGTACATAGACAATGCCAGCATAATACAAACACAACGTGCAACCTTGTTGATGGTTCTTGAGTACTGAACTGATGCAATATTCTTAGTTACCTCTTTCTTTGGGCAGTTTGTACTAAGTTTGAGCTTTGAGACTTGGGCAGCTCAAAATTTGTTTCATCGCATGATATGATATAATGTGGTAGTGTATTGAAATTTTATAATAATATTTATATTTTGAGTTGTCCCACAATGACTAATTAGGGAAAATGGCTCTCACAAGTGAGGGGCGTATTGAAATATCATATCTGAGTTGTTGACTAATTAGGAAAAATGGAAACAAGCCTATTGACATAATTTAAATGGCGATGCCATGGCGAGAGGTGGCCCCATCTCCTAAGCGGGCTCCTCACAGCGCCTTGCGACGCCTCTCTCATGCCAAAGGCGACGTAGTTAAGTTGCAAATAAAGTAGAAAAAATGAGAAAATCATGCTCCTTCTCCATCAAATTGATGTCGCACCCAAATTAGATTTTATGCAAAATAACTTAATCAATTTCAATCTGATAATTGGTGACGGCTGCCATCTCGTTGCCTCCAGGAGCGCCGATTACAAGTGGCGCGTTGCCTTTTTCTTTTTCTTTTTTTTTTTTTTTTTTTTTCTGTGCCAAACGGCTTTTCAACTCCAAAGTTTTAGATGCTTTTAGTAATTACAACCAAATTTAATTTATATTATTTTCTTTGAGTATATTTAAGGTTATTTTTGGCACTTAAACTTAAATATATGATATCATTATATCTCTATATATATGGACTGGATCAAATTAAATACTAGTCACATGAGAAACTTGAGAATCGTATTTATGCTATTTTTAGTTGTGTATGATGTTGCTTTTAATATTACATGGTGCTGTCATTTCACAAATGCTAACATAAAATGTACTGCTATTTTTTAAAAAATACATCCCTGTTAAAAATAGCACCAAAACACAATCAATCATAGCACTACATACAATTAAAAATAGCGGTTCTCACGTTAAAACTTGGTCCTCATTTGAACCACATCATATATATATATATATATATTTATATATATATATATATGTATATTTCTTTTTGATGCTTTGGTGGCTTGTGTTGCCAAGGCCTCACCTCTCGCATTGTGGCTAGGCCATAAGCAGATCGTCTCACCTTGCTATTCGTCATTTAAAATTATGCCTAGTGAGCTACTCCTTTCATTCCCAAGTGGTTTTGGGATGAAAGGTGGCAACCAAGGTCTCCTTCTTAAGGCGCGCTTCACCCCTTCCTTGGAACATATAAAGTCTAACAATGTATATTTTACTTTTCTTCTTCTTGGATATCATTAGAAATCGCTGCTTGTTTGTAAATGATTTTCCAGGTAAATGAAGCAAAAGAGAAGGCTATGGCTATACTTAGTCCGTACTCCTCTGCTGCCACACATAATCAGATGACTCTAGACAGTGGAAATCCTCAAGAGACTAACAGAGTTGGTCAGCAACCTTTTGTCTCCTTACTGGAGTTTGTGAGTGAGATTTATCAGGTTAGTTCATACTTTCTTTTCTAAATGCCACATGTGAATTATTCAGCATGTTAGTTCTTTTATTTGTGTATGAAGCATGCAAAATAGTCAGTTTGTACGGGATTCTCAATTCTTGGTAAGGAATGAAATTGCTGAGGATCAAATATGAAGCATTGTCTAGTAGATCACTAGTTATTATTCTGTTGTAATTTTTCTCCATTTACCTGTCTTCTACGGGGAGGGATAATAACTGATAAATGGGCTTGGGTAGAACTCATCCCCAAAAGCCAGCTCAAAGAGAGAAGGTGCCCAACCTACTTATACACAATAACAACCAAAGTAACTAACTGACAAACATAACTTCTAACACCCGCCATCACTCAGCGTGCCAAACGAAATGGGCTGGGTCCAAACTCAACATCGCCCCCAAACAAACAAAATTGGGTGCTCTGATACCATGACAAATGGGCCTGGGTAGAACTCATCCCCAAAAGCTAGCTCAAAGGGAGAGGGTCCCCAACCCACAGTTATACACAATGCCAAGCCAGTAATAATCGATGTGGGATAAACACAACTTCTAACAATAACAAATGCCAAGAGAGATGTTGTAATTTTGTAAGAGAACAAGTTCTTGTGACCATGTTCTTTAGTTATTCAGGGGTGGTTTTTCTTTAGTTATTAGCCCTTAAAAAATTACTAAAAAAGATCTTCCATGCATGGAAGTACATTGTTGGACTGTCCAATGATTTTAATGACTGGATAAAAATTCTAATTCAGACTAATGAAAGGGTGCAAATGGTTGGGAATCTAAATATTGGTGGGGCAGATGTAATTTCTAAGCTATGAGTGGGACTTGAGGTTCAGACTGTGAAGATGTATATCTCAGTCAAGAAATGTCTTTGAGTAACTGTTGGATGTTTGGTGACGATAATTTGAAGTGTTAACTTTGGTGGATGAAGTGATGTAAACAGAGAAGCTAAACTTTGGTGTTGTAAATGTGATTTGCCCTCCTTACAGTTCTGTACTAGTACCACTCATTGTTAAATATTAAACTGGTAAAGTCAATGTCACTGAAATTAAGACCTGTGCTGCTCAGCATTACAAGTTTTTATCCTGTTAAACCCAACTCAGGTTTGACAAATGTTTAGACTTACAGTTACAGTGTCCCACATGACACACACACATACACACACACTCTCTCTCTCTATACAACAACAACAACAACAACAACATACCCAGTATATTCTCAATAGGTTGGGGTCTGGGGGGTCAGTTGTACGCAGACCTTACCCTTGTAATTATACAAGGAGGCTGTTTCCGTAGCGACCCAAGGTGCATTGCGCCGTTTGATATATTTTTTTCTAGAAACTTTACTAATAGAAGAAGCACTAGAATTTAATTGAGCCATTTTGATCTAGTCCATTATTAGCACTATGCCAGGAGAATTGTCAACAATGACTCTTCCATCAATAGCAGTGTGTATGTTTGGTGAACTAGAATGAGTACATCTTTTGCTTTGTGCTGTTACTATTATTGCTAACGAGACTGTACTTTTTTTCAGAAGGAACCTGAGCTACTGTCTAGTAATGATGTTATTTGGACGTTTGTGAAGATTTCTGGCGAGGGTCACACTAATTTTCAAACACTTGTGGCATTTTTGAAAATGCTGAGTACCTTGGTATGTAAAGAGTACTACCACTTTCCTTCATGTCAAAATGTTACTAAAAATAAGATTTTTGTTTAATCTTATTCACTGCCATTTTGTTGTCACTTCTTCAATTAGGCTTGTAATCCGGAGAGCGCTTCCAAAGTATTTGAGTTGCTTCAGGGGAAAACATTTCACTCCATTAGGTGGAACACCTTATTCGACTGCTTATCCATTTATGAAGAAAAGTTCAGACACTCTGCTCACAGTCCTGGAGCACTAGTACCAGAGTTTCAGGAAGGGGATGCCAAAGCACTAGTTGCATACTTGAATGTTCTACAAAAGGTAAAAATTCTAAAATATGTGAGTCTGCTTTGTTACTTGCCTCTATGTTCTGGATTTGTGAATTTTAGTTTATGTAATTACTAATAACTCATTTGATCTTGTAATCCATTTAAAATTGAATGGTCAGATGCATCTATTTTTATTATATGTTACATATATATTTTGTCACTTCTTTCCTCCAATCACATATTTTGGAAATGGGATAAGTTAATAGAATAAATGGAAATTTTCAGTGTTTTGATCAATTATTCTGATCCAGTAAAGAGAAATGTCTTTCAGGGATACTGATGTTATTGTATAAATTTGTAGCTTTGGTTATTTTTCAAAATTTAGAATATGTATCTGATCAGGTTCCTTTCTGTTGCACTTGCACTTTAACTCTACTTCCAATTTGTTGATCTGTTCATCATAGCATTTAACTAGCTGCTAGCTATAGTTTTCTGCACGTCTCGTTCCAGTTCATTTATGCATATTAGTACTATAATTAATAAACTTTGCAGAATATTTCCACTTCTACAAATCATGTTTATAAATATATTTGAACATATCTGTTATTTTCATCCTTTCTATGTGATAGGTTGTGGATAATGGGAGTCCCACTGAAAGGACGAAGTGGTTTCCTGATATGGAGCCATTGTTCAAACTCCTCGGCTATGAGAATGTGCCTGCTTATCTCAAGGTTAGTCTCATGTATTTTGCTGCTTTTTTCACACATTTTGTAGTTATGCATAAATTGCTTAATGTAGAATTAACAAATTTCTGTGGGTTGTGTTGGATTTGTTTTTGTGTCTATGTTTGTATAGGGTGCGTTGCGTGGTGCTATTGCTTCATTTGTCCATGTATCTCCTGATATGAAAGATACAATTTGGAGGTACTTGGAGCAGTATGACCTACCAGTGGTTGTTGGGCCAAATGCAGGGAGCACCGGACATGCAATGGATGCACAGGTGTTGTATAGTAGAACAAGTGTTCTGTACTGTATCTTGATTATACTATATAACAAGGGCTATAATGAGCAAAAAGGAAAAAACTCTTTAGGAACTTGCAATTTGTAAAAGTTAGTTATGTGTTCTAGACTTGAGTATTTACATATGTACATCATTACTTTGCGGAAGTAAAATACCAAATGGAAGAGGATCTAAATCAATGACATTGATAGCATTGGTGCAAAAAAGTTCTGTAGTTGTTATTTCTGGCATAGAGATTTATGGTTTCATGTTGCAGGTTTATGATATGAGATTTGAGTTGAATGAAATTGAAGCACGGCGGGAGCAATACCCTTCGACTATATCATTTATAAATCTCCTAAATACTCTTATTGCTGAGGAAAGGGATGTCAGTGACAGAGGACATAGGTAAGACATCTAAAGTATCTATATGCTATGTAGTTCAATCATAATTATTTATTTTATTTTTTTCTGATGAGTGATTTTTCTTTCAGATTCATTGGCATCTTCAGATTTATATATGATCATGTATTTGGTCCATTCCCTCAGAGAGCTTATGCGGATCATTGTGAGAAATGGCAACTTGTTGTAGCTTGTCTTAAGCATTTTCAGATGTGAGCAATGTTACTAGTTTCTGGATTAAGCTGTCTTTCTCAGTTTTCCCTTGACATCTCTTTCTTCTCTTACTATGTTTGATATTTTTTTAATTGTCTGTATAGCTAAAACCTAGTAATCTGAAATGCAATTTTCCGTAAGTTTGCTTATCTTGACGTCGAAGTGAAACATTTTTATGTGTAGGATGTTAAGCATGTATGATCTTGGAGAAGATGATAGTGATGCTACTGCTGATCAGTCTCAAACTTCCATAATGATTCAGTCTTCTCCTGTTAATATGCAACTTCCTGTTGTAGAAATTATGAAGGTATAATGACTTCATATTCTCGTTTGTAAATACCACTGCTATTGCTGTTCTATCTATGTTTTCAGTATATTACCTTTATTTCTTTCTGTATGTGCAAGTGCCTTTCTTGCAGAGACATTTTATGATTTTTTAACTCTCTTTCTCTAGAGTTAGATTCGTATAGTTTGTCTATGTCCAATGATGAAAAACTAAACCATTTATCAATTGTAATTTGTAGATCTGTTACTTGATGTCATTTTCATGTTCGGCCCATTATAACTTTGTGATCTACCTGGTGAAATTCAAAATTTAACATACAATAAATAGGCAAATGCAGTAGCAGTATTGCATCTCTTGTTCAACAGCTATTAAAAAATTCATCTATTTGTTTTAGGATGTGAAAAAATAATCAAAGGCGGTCCAACCTTTCGTGTTCAATTGCAGGAATGATGTATCATCAATCTCCATTAATAGGCTATTAAACATTATAGATTGCAAGAAGCAATTGACTACCGTACATATAATCTTAATATATGGGCAGGAACATGGAATTAAGGTGGCTTTAGTGAATTTAAGTTCTTTGATAGTGTTATGAAGTGTTGGTGAGTAGTGATCCTTGTAAAAAGTTGAATACGTTAACAAACAAGTAGGTACATTGACTTGGGAGATGTCATCAGAGAGATGAGGTATGAAGGAGTTGGGTTGCAAAGGAATCAAGCGGTTTGCGGCGCTTAACTCAATGCTCTATTCAAGCTCGAGTTTAGCTAGAGCACCCCAAATTTGAAGTCAAGCCGAACTTGATCCGGTGGTTTGTAAGTACGAGTGCTCGACGAGCCACTCGTGTATGCATCCAATTACCTAAATGCCCCTAGCTTGGGCAAAATTCGAGCAATATTTTTATTTGAATATTTGAGCCGAACTTGAGCAAAATTTTAGCTGTTCAAATTTGAGCAGAGCGTTTGTATTTTTTATTTTTATTTATTTTGTCGAGCCAAGCTGAGCCTTAAAATGCTTGGCTCGTCGAGCTTGAGTAGCAGTGAAAATAATCGAGCCAGCCTGGTAGGCCAGCGCTTGATTTGGCTCGGCTAGTTAGCAGACCTAGTAGGGAGGACGAGGGTTGATGCCTAGTGGTTACAGATTGTATCCCATACTGTACATATGGGAGACATCTCTGATTTACCCATTACATCATCAATAAAACCAACCATCATATATTTGAACTCACAAAATCTGCTAAACCAGTTGGTAACTCAATATGGCAAAGTGGATCAATTAGAAATACTTTTTCTCTATTTTATCTTGTGTGCCTAAAGTTTTGACTACTTATGTTATATGATGACTGAGCTTCAATGATATGTAGTTGTCTGTTGCAAATAAATTTGTTTGAGGACTTCTCCTATGTATATTGTGAAATTAAAAAAATTGTATCCTTCAAAATGAGTTATGTTAGATGATTTTGTTTTTCCCTCATCGTTTAGTTACTGGGCTGTTATGTTGGAAGTTTGTGTTTCTCCCTCACATCCTTCCGCCACCGTTTTCAACGACCCTTTAGCAATTAACAACTTTATGTTCTATACTTTATTACTTATATTTTAGAAACAATCTGCATATCTTTTCTATTTGTGTTATTATCTTTGATAAGCTTTTCTTCAGTCTCAAAGTACTTTTGACATTTCAGTATTTATTTTGGCTCTTACATGAAATGTTGCTTTTGCAGGATTTTATGAGTGGAAAAACCCTGTTCCGTAATATTATGGGTATTGTTTTACCAGGGGTTAATTATCTAATCGTTGAAAGAACAAATCAAGTTTATGGGCAACTGCTTGAAAAAGCTGTTTTGCTCGCTTTGGAAATCATTATTCTTGTTATGGAAAAAGACACCATTGTTTCTGACCTTTGGCGCCCTCTGTATCAGGTACTTATGTCAAATTTAAATCAGTGTATTATTTTTGATGACTTTCTTTCTTCTGAGACTTCAGATGACGATTGTAAAGCGATCCTTTTCTTCTCAGTTCCAGGAAGTTTCCTTAAAAAATGTCCAATGATTATAGTTGGTTTTTATGCCTTGCTTTGTTCTGAGTCTTCCTCCAATGTCAAAACGTTAAAACCTATGGACAACAAAACTTAAGAAATGCTAATTACTGGGGCTCATATCATGTTAATAGTACTAATAATTCGCACCTAAGTTATAGTAATTTTTCTGACAAATACAGTTCAGTGGTTTGAACCAAAACTTTGACTTTGTGCATGTTAAGAGGTGTCCCTACCAGATTATTCCTTTTGGATATGAGAACTTAATAGAAAAGCTGGACAAATGAGTTGTCAGCAATCAGTCATAGAGCAACTATAAGTGAAATCTAGAGGAGAATGTTCTCAACAATGATCTGAGAAATCCAAATTGTAGTCGGCCATACTTTATTGTATTTCTTATAAGGGACTCAGGGAGAATATTAAACAAATCCAAGCACGCAATTAACTTTCCATGTTGTTTTTTGTTCAGCTTTTCCATTCTCTTGTTTGCACGCTCCAATTGTCTCTTGATAATTAGTCTCATATTGTGTAATGAATATCTGTTTTATGCTGAGATCTGAAGCAATAATCTTTTATTTTCTTCAATTCAGCCTTTGGATGTCGTACTCTCTCAAGATCACAATCAGATTGTAACTTTGTTGGAATACGTACGATATGATGTTCAGCCTCAGATCCAGATCTGCTCCATCAAAATTTTGACCATTCTAAGGTAACATTACATTTACTGCCATTCTCATCTTTTTTTTTCATTTTGGAATCTTTGGTTGATAAAACCGTATGCCTGTAATGACTTGTCTTATTGTATGCAGTTCAAGGATCATTGGGCTATCACAGTTGCTGCTAAAATCAAACTCTGCAAACAGTTTGATTGAGGATTATGCAACCTGCTTAGAGCTGCGCTCTGAGGAAGGTCAAATTTTTGACGATAGCAGCATGGATCCTGGCGTTCTGATTATGCAAGTAAGCTTTGTTTCTGTTGTTTCTCTTCCTTCCAGCAGCTGGGGAATCTTATATCATAGGTCATGTATTTTTAAAAGTTGAAACAAGAATTGAAGTTCTACTGTTTTGAAAGAAAGTATTGCATGGGAAAGTCTGGGCTTGAAGATTGAATATTGCAGTTATGTTCAGCCTACTGTCAATGTGCTTTAATATTGTAGTGTGCAGAAATAATCTATATTATGTGGCTTCAATATACTGCACAACCCATCATCTTATAAATATCTGAAATTTTTCTTTTTTTTTTTGGAGAACTTCTTGTTCGTTTCTTTATTTTCTGCATACAATATAATTTCCTTAAATTGCGCTTGACTCTATCACCTATACATTTATAGTTACTACTTAGCCAAATCCAAACTGGACATCATTATTGAATGTCAAATGACACCAAATCTAACTCTGTAACTTGACCTCTTTACTTCTGAAAATATGGAAAATTCTTAGTCAACACCCACAGCCTCATGCCTTCTCCAAGTTCCAATCCTGAAAATTTTGTGTATTGGGGGTTTCAACTCGTTCAGCATGTGAAGTGCACTCTTTCCACTTATTTAAAAGGGATTTTTAACTTTATTGTTCTGTGNTGCTCTCAGCTATCTCTTAAAGATGTTTGAAAGATGGAATGCGGTAGGATAAATGGAAGTTGTACAAGGATGTATTCTTCCATTTATTACCACGATTAATTTTACCATAAAATCTTATAACATCTTTTATTTATGAAGAGAGGGTTATCAAGCGATTCATTACTTGATTACTTCAATATTCTATAACATGGATCTTGGTGAACAGTAGAATTACAACAAAGGGTCCTACTGTAACACTGTAAAATCTTACAACAATGTAACTGTAGATAGATTGTAGAACAGAGGACTGAACTGGAAGTCTGGAATTTTCTAATGTTGAAATTTTAAAATCCTAGCATAACTCATTTCAGTTTTAATTTTTTCACATTACAGCAATTATTAGTTATCTATGAATGACAATGAGTGTAACCTTGGCAACTGCAGCTGCTCATTGACAATATCGATAGACCAGCTCCCAACATCACTCATCTATTGCTTAAATTTGATGTTGATAGCCCTGTCGAAAGGACTTATCTTCAGCCAAAATTTCATTACAGGTTATTATTAATACTTTACCTGAGGATCTTTCTACTTGTTTTATCTGAGTATACTGATTTTTTATTTTTTATTATTTTTTTTTTTTGTGTCNTTTTTTTTTCACTTGTAGTTGTTTGAAGGTCATTCTCCAAGTTTTGGATGAGCTTTCTAAACCTGAAGTCAATGCTTTGCTTCATGAATTTGGTTTTCAGGTTTAATAATGGGTTTGGTTGTATTTCAGCACTCTCCTTTTATATTGGCATCTTAACTTAAGTAATTATTTGCAGCTCATTTATGAATTGTGCGTGGATCCACTGACTTCAGCTCCTACTATGGATTTGTTATGCACCAAAAAGTACCAGTTCTTTGTAAAGGTTTTACTCTATTAGTCTTCTATATATGTATAATATTATATTCATCCTCGTTAACGTAATGTTTTATGCATGTTTAATGTTTTTGATGATGTCCTACTATTCAGCACCTGAGTTCAATTGGTGTTTCTCCCCTTCCAAATAGAAACAACAGTCCAGCATTTCGCATCAGCTCTCTGCATCAGGTTTTTGTCGCTAATCATCCTTATTTTCTCCTACAACTTTTACATATTGACTTGGAATTCTTTTGGTATAGTGCATTGTTATTTTTCACATTGCAGTAGAATGTTATTTCTGATACATGCTCTCTGTTACTTGTTTTGGCTTGTGCAAGTGCATGGTGTCTGTTTTACGATTTATGTGGTTGGAATAGAAATGTGAAGCTCTTAATTTTCAACCTGGGCTTGCCTTAAGAAATTATTGTTCACTAAATTCTCTCTTTCTTGCTTTGTGTAGAGAGCTTGGTTGTTGAAGCTTTTAACAGTAGAGTTGCATTCAGCAGACATGACTGATTCCAATCATCGTGAAGCATGCCATAGCATTCTCATTGAGTTGTTTGGCCAGAGACTTACTAAAGATGGCATTGATTGTGATGCATCTTCCTTCATCCCTCAAAATGAAAAGCAAATTGCCGCAACTGGTTTAGTTAGCAAGGTATTGTGATTTTGCTAACTATTGTCTGATTGCATATCTGGAAGCAAATATTTAAATGTATTTTTTGTTATTTTTTTTTTGTTAAATATTCCTTGATGATGTGATCTTGATGGTGGGATTGGTATAACCTTACATAGAAATAACTATCAAAACTTGAAAGCTTACTCACTTTTGAACTTGAAACAATGGTTCTTTATGTTTGAGTTTATATGCATTCTATAGTGTGCATACTAGTTTCTCTATGCTAGAATATTAAAAGTTATCTGATTTAAAATCCTACTTTCTAACACAGTACCCTTACATAGGTTCTGGAATTGCTTGAGGTTGTCCAATTTGATACTCCTGACATCACAATGAAACCATCTGATTTCATCTCCAATTCAAGATACTCTTCTTTGGTAAGGATGGCTCTGTTACGTAGGTACATTGTATTGTTTTCCAGTTCATTCTTTGCCATATGCTATGCAGGCTGAGGATATACTTACCAATCCATCAACCTCTGGGAGGGATGTTTATTATCATTCGGAGCGTGGGGATCGTCTTATTAATTTGGCTTCTTTTAGAGATAGACTTTGGCAGGTGCTGTTTTGGCTCCAACCACTTCACCATTTCCATATATTATATCTTTTTTATTCGCTGAGTAGAAGTCACTCGTATTGATCAATAACATCTTTCCTGGCAGAAGTGCAATTTGTATAATTCCCTGACGAGCTCATCTGGAACTGAAGCTGAGTTGAACGGTATAAGAGAAGCCATCCAACAACTATTAAAGTGGGGATGGAAATACAACAAAAACCTTGAAGAACAAGCTGCCCAGCTTCATATGTTAACAAGCTGGTCTCAGATTGTCGAGGTCAACCCTGCTCCATAGTGCACGTCTTCATTATATTGTTCTTTTATCACGGGTGATTCTGTCCCATGGTTGTGTTGCTGTTGAGATTGGAGGGTTGTTTGTTGTTTTTTTCACATGCTCTATCATTAAATAATATAATTTTAAGTCATTTATCAATTTTCATGAGGTGAAAACTATAAAGACGAGATGGTTAGACGATAATATGTGAATATAATTATTATCAAGAACTGCTATATTTCCTTTATAAAATTAATTATATATGTAAGTTCAGCTGCTGGTCATGGCTATGATTCATCTATAACCTTCCAAGCTCTATACTATGCTATAATTCTTTATTTCTTCTTCAGGTTTCTGCATCCCAGAGGATTTCATTCCTTGAGAACCGAACTGAAATACTGTTCCAGTATGTGCATTCTTTACATCGTTATCTTGCATGACATAATTGGATTTACTCACTTAATATAATATGGGCAGATTGCTAGATTCTTCGCTGGGCTTTTCTGGTTCTCCTTCCTGTTCTTTAAAGATGGCACAAATATTGACCCAGGTAGTAAGATAAATGCTAATATTTATGATGCGCTTCAATTCTTTTTATTTAGTTTTTGTTTTATTTCGTGAAGTTTAACGTGTTGTGCAAATATTAAGGTTGCTCTCACATGCATGGCCAAAATACGTGATGAAAGATATGTCTTCCCAAGTGGCCTAACTTTGGACATGGTTACATGTCTTGACATTATTATGACAAAGCAATTATCAAATGGGGCCTGTCACTCTATATTGTTCAAGATTATTATGGCAATTCTTAGACATGAATCTTCAGAAGCATTGAGAAGGCGGTAATGAAATATTCATCTAAGATAAATTGCGTTTACAGTTCAATGCACTTAAAATATGAAGGAATTTTTTGACCCATTTTATTGTATTGAATCCAGTCAATATGCGTTGCTTCTAAGTTACTTCCAGTACTGCCGGCACATGTTTGATTCAGATGTCCCGACAACAATTCTGCAATTCCTTTCAGTTGATGAGCAAGATGGAGATTTGGATCTAGAAAAGGTTTCGGCAATTACATAGCCTTAATTTTCTCATTTTAGATCTTCAATGCTATTCTTATTAAACAGGGAACATCCTTTACAGATTGACAAAGATCAGGCTGATTTGGCTCATGCAAACTTTGCAATACTGAGAAAGGAAGACCAGCTGATTCTTAACTTGGTTGGTTTAATATTGTTCTCCTGTTATTCCTTTTTCTGCAGTTCTTTTATAAATTCTTGTCTTGATATTTTGTTCCCATTAATTTTCAAGATCTTGTTCACTTTATTTAGGCGGCCACTGGATGATTTATCATACACACTTGCGCACCAAAGTTTATGTGCCTTATATGTTCTGATCTGTGTTGGACTCTCTAGTCATTATGAAGTGTATGTTTTACGTATTTATTTGTTTTTCTTGTTTACATGAGCGAGCTTGTATTATTTGGTGGGCAATGAAGTTTCTGAGATTGTGCTTTGGAGTGAACGCATAAATATCTTGGATGAGGGTATTATCAGGCAAGATTTAGAGTTGCCAATTTGTTGACAGTTTGATGTATTAGCATGGATCTGTTTGTTTCAAGATATGAATGAAGAGCAAATGCAAATTTAGTTATGACATTGAAGTATGCTGAATATGTGCTGAAAGAATGGTCAGCATGCTTGAAAATCAACGTGGGACTTGTATTGCTAGTTGTTGATTTGCAAATTTCGAGTCCCTCTTAGCTAGATTGAGACGGTGCTCAAATACGAACTTGATTGTGGTGACAGTTCTGTCTGTCCTCTCCTGCGTCATACAAATGTGTACTTTATGTGCGGCAGCTGTTTACTGACTCGCCAATATTTGAGTATGGCAAAGAGATAAATAGATAGTTTGAAATATGGTTGGCATGATATTTAAATTGGGATGAACTTGAAATCAATTGGTTATCAGACAACATTAGCTGGGTTGGGTTAGCGATTATTGAAGCAAAGACTAGATTTTTGTGGCAATTTTGTGTAGTATTAGTAAGAACTTTCTGATTGGAAGTATATGCATCTTGCTGCCATTTGGTTGAGAAAAATTCTCTGCCTCCAATGCTTACTCTCTCTCTACAGAGACCATATTTTATACTGATGTTTGTCATAGCACATGACTAGCATTAAATCCATAATCCTAGCTTACGTTTGCCCATCTCTTTTACCATTCTACATATAAAGGTTTGGACTTGTCATCAGCCTCAGGCCTTATTCTTGTTTCCAACTTATTGATGTCAGCTACTGTGACAATTTTGTGCTAGAAAATGCAAATTACAGTGAGACGGGCACATTGTTGGTTTTAGATGTTTCCTGGATGACAGAAATCTGATTGATACTAGCAGTTTTGTATTCAGAATGTACTCATTTGGAATAATGCAGCCCTCTTACTGTCCTGAAGTAATTGTTGCATCCAATTTACTCTCTATCAAACATTGACAGGCTTTGTTTTTCTACAATTTTGCAAGTGTAGTTTCTCACTATGTTCTATATGTGTTTTTATATGCATATGGATAAATATTATATATCTATGTGTGTGTGTACTTCATAACTCCCCTTGTGAATGTGACTTTATAATGATAATAGTGAAGCTTATAAATCAATTAGTGAAGATGAGATCATTTGTTTTGTGGCCACGTTGACACTAATTTGCAAAGCTCATTGTTGCACATCATTGTCTGGTTTATAATAATTATTCTCTTGTCATACTACTGTATCTAATTATACATTTTCTGGTTCAAATTTAGGTCATAAAAGATGCTACCCAGGGCAGTGAATCTGTAAAAACAATGGCATTTTATGTCCTGGATGCATTTGTCTGTGTAGATCATGAGAAATTTTTCTTGAGTCAACTTCAGAGTAGAGGCTTCTTGAGGACATGCTTCATGAACATCAGTAATTTTTCCTATCAGGTACAACACCCTAAACCTTGTTAAAGTGTCTTGATTCATTTGGTTTTCTTATCATATTTATTTGCAATCTAATTTTGATTGTCCGGGATAACATTATGACTTGCATGTGTTGCCATTGATTTTCTAGTAATTGTGTCTTAAATTTGGTCACATCTCAGTCATGTGTAGCTTGTATAACTTGGTAGATGGTTCCTAAAAATTAGGTTCTTGATTTTCCTTGTGACATTTGCTAGTTGTTCTCTGTTAAAGATATGAACGGGTCTAAGCCATTGTTCTAGAATCATTGGAGTCCGCCCAACAAGTGGAGTTTGGTCCAAAGTTAAAGATATTACTTGATCCTCTTTACGAATGTTAGAAATTATGTTTGCCGCACATTACAATTTGCTGTGCTGTGATTGTTGATAAATGTGGGTTGGGGCACCCTCTTCCTTTGACCTATATCATTTGGAGGACCCATGGATTTGGCCTACTTTGACCCATTTATCATTGTACAATATCACCCAGTCTTTTTATTTATTTATTTATTTGGATGTGATTTAGGGTTTTGACTAGATCTATTTGGATTGGCACTCTACGTGCAAGGGTGGGTGTTTGAAGTTGATAACTTGTGTAAATGTCTGATCCACATTTCTTCACTAGTTGCTGTTGCTAAGGCTTTTTGTTCAGTATCACCACTTTTTTTTTTTAAATCACATTTAAGATTTCCTCTCTGACCCATACAACTGAGCAATATCTTCTGGTTGTCCTATCTGTCTTGCTTCCTGCACAGCGTGCATCAGAATATCTGTGTTAGAATATAGAACATGTCTCCACACACATTCGCCGTTTTTGGGAAGTCATCTTGAGAGACATGAGGATCTAGTAAACAATCATCATATGATCTCCTCCATTTGGTGGTGCATAAACTGATCCTAGTGGCTGCAGAGTATGTGTTAGGAGTAAATGATAAGAAAAGAGAATATGCCATTTAGTGATGATAATTATAATACGAGTAAAGGATCAAGAAAGAGAAATATGCAATTTTATTGATGATACTATAATAGGAATGGACAAGAAGTATGAAACTTCTCCAAGAAGTAAAAAACTTCTATAACAGGATCTTTGTGCAACAAGTGCCAAATAGCCGATGCTGTTACAAAATATATCTCTTCATACTTATCATATTGACAACTCTCTTATATACTATACTATAGCTAATATAAAATGGTAATAGGTAATAAAAGGGATATGAAAGTGATAACATTTAAGGAATAATAAATCATTGAAAATCCGTAAAATTAAGCACCAATTAAGATCCCAAAGAACAACATTGATTATTGCATAGGGGCCACGAATGTAATTACGCAGGTTGAAGTTGAGAATTATCTGCCTCGTCCTCTGTTGGAGAAGAGTAGGCATTTGTTTGTATCCTTGAATGTATCATATCTATGAGGTTATTGTCCGACAACAAGGAAATCTTCAATAAGAGTGACAAAATCCAAACCGGAGGTAGGCACTTCAGCAATCTTGTTAGGCTGTGAAGCTGATGGCCCCAAATCCCATGGAACAGAGGAAGTGGAACTGCAGCCACTATCAGATTTCAAAGTCATGTTCTCTGAGGAGATGGAATCTACATTAGTGATTAGACAAGCCGTTGACATCATTATCCTGGGAGGTGTCATTGCTTGCTTCAAATTGGTTTTGTGGCCTCCTCGACATTAGTGAGTTGGCACTCGATTACTTCCTGACCCTTCTCCATGGCTACAACTCGAGATTCTATGCTTTCCATCAGGCATGTCGGACCAATTGTTAGGAGCAAAGGATGAAGAAAGAGAAAGTATGCAATTTTATTGATGATATTATAATATGGATGACCAAGAAGTATGAAACTTCTCCAAGAAATATTAAAACTTCTACGACGGTATCTCTGCCGTGCTAGAAACTTGCTCACTAGCCGGTGCTATTAAAATCTCTTCATACTTATCCTATTGACAACTCACTCTTATACTAATAACTAAGGGGGCGATTGGATACAAATTGTACAGTAAAAAAATCAATCAAAACTCAAACTTAACTTAACTTTAACCCAACTCCACTATCTCCAATATTATCAATATAATTAAATAATATCAACCAATCATTCTTACACATCACATCAACTTTAATTCACTATTCATCTACTCACACAATTTTAACTAACTATCACTTCCAATCATTTTCTCTTATTATTACATCAATCAACTTTAATTATTTTACTTTAAATATTATTTTAATATATCCACTAACAACTAACCATACCACATTTTTTCAAACTTAACTATAGTTAAAAAAACCTAGTTTTTTACTAGTTGAATTCATATCCAATCACCCCCTAAAGCTAATATAAAATGGCAAATAGGTAATAAAGTGGTAATAAAATAACAGTCTTTAAGGAATAATAATTCAGTGGAATCCCTAAGTTTAAGCACCAATTCAGATCCCAAAAATCAGCATAATATATTCCAAAATTGATAATCCTTCCATTCTTTCATCTGTATCAGTATGGGAGAAACCAAGAGCCTCCCTACAACGTATTTTGTCTGCTTAAACTCCTCTCCTTCTCTTCCCGCCTTAACTTTATTTGAAGTCAGCTTGGATACTTACAGCATACTTCCAAGCATGCCTGTTACCTGAGTAAATCAAAATTGCATGCGAGCTGACAGACAAATACTACTAAATTGACATAACCGCTTGCGTGCCCAAAAAGTAGTTTATTGGCACTTTAATTTTATACTTTCAATATAAATTGTTGTTTGTTTGCCATTTCTTAGTGTCGTTCTTATCAGAATTCAGGACATCTGCAAGCCATTATCGCCGCTTATATATTTCTTGCTGTAATCACATCAACTTGTATGCATAAACACACACAAAAATGTGTATGTAGTACATATACTTTGCCTGAACAATCATGTTGGGGTTTGTTAAATGCTAACGTTGATGGGACTATTGTATTCTTGGCTCGTATTACGGCGTGGCTATATTTTGGTGATCGTATGCTTAATGCATACCCCGCTGCCTCTTATGTTCGTAACTGATTCTTTAGCTGCTGGATTGTTGCTGTCATTCAGGATGGTGGGTTATCCATAGAATCTAGGCAGCGTCTTTGCACTCTTGAAGCGGAGCTTTCTTTGCTGCTGAGAATCAGCCACAAATATGGGAAATCTGGGTCTCAATTGCTATTTTCAATGGGTTGTCTGCAGCATGTTGCCTCGTGCAGAGCTCTCCATCTTCCAATAAAGGTTACAACTATTTCTCCCTCTCATTTAATCTATAACCCTTTTAAATTAAAAATTAAAAACCCTCTTTAAAAGGAGAGTTGTTTCTTGAAAAACCTTGAATTGCCAAAAATACCAACACTATAGCTAATTTTTGAGGTTACTAATGTAATTTCATCATAATGTTAGGGAGTTACTATTATTAATAGTTACATTCATTTTTCAATCAAATATTGTTCATTCTTCTATATTTTTATTCTTTCTTTTATCTTTAGTTTATTTTTTAGTTGATATAGAGACACTAAGATTATCTAAGCAATTATAGAAATATAAAACAAATAAATTAAATAAAGATAATGTGATTGGTACAAGGTTAATTTTTATTTTTATTATGTTATATGAGATTATTAAAATTTTGGATAAAAAATTAATTTCTAATATCTCTTTATTATTACCTTATATTTATTAATTATCAAAAGAATAATTTTAATTTCAAATACTATTTTTACAAATTTAATACCAGTTTACATTTTAATTTTTTTCTCCCTTATATTGTTCAATGTTATTTAAATTTATATTAGTTATCAATTTGGTTGTTAAGACTTTAGTTATAACTTTTAGTACATGAGAATAAATTAATCTTACAATTTTTTTCTTTAACAACGCTTATCATATTTGTTTCGGTTTTAAAATATCACTAGTATAATACCTGTGTACTACACGGGTGTTGAGTTAAAACATATATTATAAAAGTTATTGTTAAATAAAATTTTTATTTAAAAATTTTGATGGACTAATTAATAAAAAAAAAAAGAGAGGAATAGACAGTGCATAAAGTGATTTGTAAATACTAAATCGTAATTTGAGGAAAATATGAGAGAAAATTATAAGATGGTGAGATTGCTACTTGCCCAAATTAAGAAGAAAATTTGTACTAAAAGAAAAATAACAAATTAAGTGTACACTTTCCAAGTTTGAAAAAAGTTATTTATATCTATCTCAAGTCTAATTCCAAAGCAAAAAATCAATATACAAACAACATTCCGAAGCATATATTTTTGCCATGTCAGCATTTGAAGCGTGTAAGCCTACCACTTAGGCTCAACACGTTTTGAATTAATATATAGGGAGAGATTTCATTTACTGTGTTATTTTGGATGATATTATTATTTTTATTTAAAATTAAAGTGAAAAATAGTAGGGGTTAAGTATTATATCTTTATAAATGATATGAGTCAAACTACAATCCCCAATATAAATAAAAAAATTATATTAATTATTTAATAAAAAGTTATATAATCCTACTATAGAAGTAGTATTTATAATTTCTAATTTGTTCTAAAAAATATTCTCGATCATATTGTTTAATTTATCTATTATCATAACATTATGTTAATTAAATAATTAAGTAATGACATTATTCTTTGTGTTTAATAATGGTTAGCTTTGCTTTTATTGTTTTCATGAGATAATTAAAATTTCAGACCAAACATATATGTTAAAAACCTGTACTTATACAAACCTACATTTTTATGCATTTAATAAATATAAATTCAAATAGAATTTGTAGAATTTGTAACAAATTTCAAGATACTAAAATATTTTTTTTTATAGTTTGATCTGATTATTTAGTTGTTTTAAATAATTATATTAGTTATTAAATTTTTTAACGTACCTTTTCAATATAAGCAAATATTGAATTTTTTTTTATTTTTTTAATATTTTTTTTTTAAATTTTGTGACAAATAAATAACATTTATTCTTGGTTATTAATTTTTTTTTTTCAAAATTTATTGTATTTATGACAATGAACAATTTAGCGAAATTTAAAGTTATAATTTTAAATAGCATTTGTAGAATTTGTTACAAATTTCAGGATACTAAAATATCTTTGTTATAGTTTGATCTGATTAGTTATTTGTTTTAAATAATTATATTAGTTATTAAATTTTTTTTGTTTTGTAATTACAAAGTACATATAGTTCACTCACGAATATATCTTTTCTAATTTCTAAACTATTCGCATACACATTAAAAATATACTATTATTTGCAATGTATGTATATATATGTATATATATGTTTAATGTACACATGCTTATTTTTCATCTTATTTTTGTTTTTAGATTATGTATTGAAAGAAGGAAACAATATTAACATTATCATCGATCATTTATCATCGATCAAATGATCGATACTATTTAAGTTTTTTATTTTTTCGTAGAATAATTTAAAATTATAAAAGTACTTCTATAGATGGGTATATATTCATACAGTAAATAACCAAATGTTTAAATGAAAAAAATTATATTAGTTATATAGGAGAATTATGCTTTGACTATTATCAGTTCTTAATTTTTTCATTTAATTTTATGAAGAATAAATAATATCATTCAAAATAACAAAAATAATTTGATATTTTAACATCGAAACAAATATAATAAAAGTTGTTAAAGGAAAAAATTGTAAAATTAATTTGTTCTCTTATATTAAAAAGTTACATTTTAATTCTTAACAAACCAAGCAGAAAATTAATGTAGATATAAGAAATATTGAATAATATAACTAAGAGAAAATTTAAATAGTAAAACGGTTTATTTGCATTTATTATCGTATTTGTAAAAAATAGTATTTTCAATTACAATTGTTCTTTCAACAATAACAAAATATATTAGAAGTAATAAAAGATACTAGAAATACATTATTGATACAAAATTTTAACGATACAAGTTTATTTGTTATATTATTTTCGTTTTAGATTATGTAGGAAAAAAAGGAAGGAAACATAATTTGTATTTATCTACGATCATTTACTATTACTATTCAAATTCTTTTATTTTTTTATGAAATTTTATCTTTTCACTTCAAAATTCGTTTCGCATTATATTTTAAACATCCCTTCTTATGGTTGTTTTCATTTCAAAATATCATACAAATTACGATTCTTGGTTTCAATACTCTTCAAAAAAATAAAGTGAAATACATTGTTTAGCAGATATAATTTCGTGAATGATTTAGACAAAAATAATCATTCATTATTAGATGTAATTTTTTTATTTAAAAATATTTAGTTTATTAAATAAAAAAAATACAATTTGTTGGTAAAAATATATTTTTGTTAATTATAAATAGTAGTGCATATGCAATTTTATAACTTTGGTAACAAAAATATTTTTGTTAAATAAGAGTAGTGCATATTTAACTTCGGGAAACAAATAAGTTGTCTGTGTTTTCTTATATATAAATGTCTTATCTTGTTATTGTTCATGCTTGTTATTGAAATAAATTTTCATATTTTGTTATATATAAAATGACCGTTATTCTTGAACAATAATAGAATTAAAATATACAAACACACAAAAAATGAAGTACAAAATCAACTCTAAGAAAAAAAAAATCAATTAGATACTTAGTCAGTGAAATCACTAAGTTGTTAAGAGACCAAAAGTTAAAGTAAACAAGTATAAATATTTTCAAAATTTGAGTTAGAAATGTAAAATATAATAGTTTAGTATATTTTATAATGAATGAATAATGAAATGAATAAATAACATTATTACTTTATGTTAAGATAACATATTCATAGTTAAATTTTTACATTTATACCTAGATTTTTTAAGTTATTTCTATATAAAGTATACTTCAAGAAAATTGTTAGAAATTGAGAAGGGTCCGTCCATGAGAAAATGTATCTTTGTATGAAGAAAGATTGAGCTTTGGGTTTCAAATTTTACACGTTATCGACAAAGCGAAAAAAAATATCAATGTGACAACGCAATAATCGAAGATAAGGGTAAGATAAAATATTCAACATACCGTTGGTTAGTTTTGAATTAACAGTTAAAAACTAATCACTACAATTGACAATGATGATTATGATTTAAAACAATGGTAAAAGACGCCATTAATTAAGAAATGAAAGATAAAGAAGATTTTGCTAACAATCGATAATCATTGATTGATTTCATTATTTTAACAAAAAATATTATTTATTGTTATTTAACCATAGCTTTAAATTAATTCCATTATAGATTACATTTAAGTTCCCAGTAAATTTATATAATTGTATATATATATATATTATTTAGCTAATAGATTTTTTTAAATATATAAAGATAAATTCAATAAAAATAACTTTTAGACCATAAAAAATATTGATAATCACGTGCAACGCAGGTACATCTCCCTAGTAATCTGTAAGTACATATTTTTATCTGAAATGAGAAGGAATTTCCCTTGTCCAGATATAGATAAACCCTTCTTTTTTGTCTCCCCTAGCTTGATCATTGTATCACTGTCGACCATGCTTGATCCAGGCTCCGTAGCTTGGATCGTCGTAAAGCCCAAAAAAGAAATGCACTTCCCAAATTATTTCAGCTACTTATTTACCCAAACCATAAATGAGCTATGTCCACGCACAGGGAAATTTTCGGCGCCCTGATACCAGGATTTCAAAAAGTTCTGTGGATACAGATAAGCAGCGAGTGGTGGTTGCTCCTACACTAAGATTCTTCTTTTCATTGACTGCACTGGTCGATAGTTCTGAGTTCTTTGAGGTTAGACCACTTCAAAGTTTTTTTAGAAAGACACACCATAATGTTTTGTTTGCATTACGAGTTTTAATCAATTTTTCTTTGTGTTGTGGTCAAATAATATTGAGGTTACGTTTTAATGCATATCCGGTTCCAACACTATCACATTGAACATACTTACCAATTTTTTGAACTTGGAGTGTGCAATTTAGTAATGGATCATGACTACGACAGTCTGCCTAGAAATATTTCAAAAACAGGAAACTTTGGAAGACTTCTGTTAGGTGATAAATGGCATCTTCAATGTTTTCGCATTAAGTTATTGTTATTTTTATCGTAAGGAACTATACCGCCATTTCATGTAACTTAGTTTTGTGGAGAGAGTATTTGCTATAATTGTTATAAGCCTCAACACATAAACGGCTATATAGGACTAGACTAGAGTACTTTACAAAGTTATACAATTCATTGCAAAAGGGATATGTAAAATGACTTCCTTTAAGACATAGTTTAATCAATAATACAAGGAAATGAACCAATTGTATCAATAATGTAGAAGTAGTGTTTTATGGTCATTCCAACTCATTGTTGTCTCCAAGACAATCTTTTATCATGAAGCAACTGTCTATGTACACAATCCACTTTAATATATATAAGAGTTATTTTTTGGTTTCCCAAACTAAACTTTTTCACTTTGCTTCTCATTTATTTAAGCCGACAGGCTGCCTCTCAATATATACAAAATTTTTAAACTACCCCCAAATCGGGTTGACTGGTCAAAACGGTTTCAAATAGTAAAATGGTGGTTTTGGGGAGTAGTGTCACTCTCGAATAGTTCGAAAGACAAAGAAATACTATCTTTTAATTGTGTTAGGTGTGCAAAGTTTTTATAAATGAATTAAATTGTTCAAGTATCTTACTAATTAAATCCAAACTAAATATATTTTCTGTTTCACAGAATGCACTCTCAAGCCATGCCGTGTTTGTAGTGTCAATGCATATTTTGAAAGGATGTACAAGCACATCAATATTTACTGTAGAATATTTTATTTTATTTTAGTTCTTAGTATCATTCTTTGTTTATTTTCACTAATGACCAGAAAGCAGGTTATGTAGAATATTAAAGACGTTTAGGTCCGGTTACATGTCTGGAAAGACACATCAAATACCATCACTGTGAACTGATATATCTTATTGGAAAATCATCTCACAATGATTTTTCTTTTAAATATCCATTTCTTAAAAAGATAAGCAATTTCATACCAATTTATAGCTAGCCATCAATATAATTCCTTTACATATGCTTACACCTAAATGTGAAAAGCAATGAAAGAGAAGAAAGGGAAGAATNAAGAAAGGAAAGAATATAAGCAAAAAATAAATACATTAGGGAATATTAATGCATAATTTTTATTTTGCTTTTCAAACTATTCGAAGTTGACATTTTCATCCCATTCTTTTAGAGCCGTCAAAACCTGGTTTTGGGAAGTAATTTGAAAAACTTGTATATATTGGGAGGCCATTTGTCAGAGGCAAAGTGTAAAAAAATTGTGTAGTTTGGGAGGAAAAAAAGGTGAACTCTATAATTTACACACACACACACACACATATATATATATAAATAAATTGTGTAATCTGTTTAACCTATGTGATTGTCATGTTTTCGATTTAACATGTAACCATTTTTCTTTAATACGTTTATTGTATTTTGGTATCTCGGATTGCAGTATACAGAATTCTTCCCCTATGTGTTTGCGATTATAATGTGCTAATTCCCTGAGTATCATAGGTGAAGAATAAAGTAGTCCGTGAAGTCATAGAGTTCATTAGAAGTCATCGGCTTCTGTTTGATCAAATTCTGCACGAGAATCTTTCAGACACGGATGAATTGATTATGGAACTTATCAATCTTGTCGTCGGTATACTCAGCAAGGTAGAGTTGGCATGATATGTACTACAGTTTCGATATTGAATATATGTTACCACTGAGACAATAGTTCATATGGAATGCATGCTGGTCACATAAGTATTCATTAAAGATCTTTTGGTTAGATGTCCTTACACCACTGATAGTTACTTCAATAGTGCAGCTGAACATAATCCTACGTTCCTCAACCTGAGAAAGGGATGTGGGCAATTCCTTGGGGCATTTTT